TCGCTGCTAGAGGTTGGCTGCTCCCCTGTCTAACTCCAAGTATGTGGAAGATATAGGTTTCTTGGGGTCGGACCCAACCTCAATACAAGAAGGTCCGAGTAAACTAACGCCGAGTACCGAATATAAGCTGATGATTTCCGGACAATTTATCATTTATGTAGAAGGGGATGAGGTTGGTTCAATATCTTGGAATATGTTTGGAACCGACTGGGATTTCATGATTTCAGAAGGTTTTGAATACAAGTCGGCTTTGGTAGGGTTTTATTTTGGCAACGTTTCGCCCTTGACACAAGAGCTTCTTCAGGCCAGGTGAATTGGTGCAAAATTGGCTCAGCTTTTTATGGGAAGGTTGCAAGACATAACATGAACCATTGGATAATAGTGGTTGGCTTATAAAAAAGTCACAGGGAATTTTAAAAAATCACATGCAAAATTCACTCAGGAAATCACTGCCCTTAGCACCACCCGATAGTGACAGACGGTAATCCAGACAAGGATTTGAAGTGCTTACAACGGGACACGTTCTTTGCGTGTCGAAAATTCTCGGTGTATTGCATATTTGACGATCGCGACGGATGGCAGTAACGAATCGAAAGCTCTTAAACATTATGTTATGCCAGCTGATCCGGTGCCTTAAAAGTACGTCGTCCCGCACCTCTGACCGTGAACTTCGCTCTCACCCACTGCTCTTCTGTGTTTCGTTTGCATGGGTCCCACTCTCACCTTAAGCTATATTGTCAGCTGTCTTACCTGTGGCTGTCGAACTATTCGCTGAGCTTGGGAATTTTGTTGCAAACGTTTCGTCACCAATCGAGGTGACATCATCAGTGCGTACTTGAGTGACGTACAATAGCGTAGAGTAGCGTAGCGCTACGTCTGGTCACTAGACTGTACGGTGCGGTGAAACTGTTCTGAAGACACTACACCCCAGTAACCGCGATTGTAACATTATGGTCACTACAACTGACCAGTAGTAGAGCAGGTTTCATTTGAACTCACTCAATTGAGAGCAAGTAGTGATGACGTGAAAGTAACAAGAGAAACGATTTCGTTTCTCTGTTGCTGATTTTTAGGGGATGGCTAATACAGGGACTTACGACTTTGGACAAAGTGAATGTTGCAAAGTTATACTGTCGGCTTATCTATGGATGGGCTTATATTCGGTCGGCCCGTAGTCTATAGGTAACGGGCTTGTAATATTGCGGCGCCGGTTCGAATCCGAGTAGGGGTGGGCGTCCTCGCGGTATACTCAGCCCGTGTGCGACTGGTGGTAGTCGGACGACAGAGAAGCGACGTTACGGCGTACAGCTGACACGTTATGGCTGGCTTGCCGAACAACCTCTTCATGGTGCCATCTGGGTGGTTCGGGACAATCCCGTTCCAGCGAGTGGTTCGGCGGCAGTGTTCCAAGACGTGGTGGGTTTTCTCCTGGCAAATGTTCTCCCTATAAAAAGCCACATATGTCCGTTTAACAACGCTGTGACGTGGCGGATGTGACCCGCCACTAAATAAAGTAACTGCCCCTTGACTCTCTCTGAGCGGCATTGTAATTCAAGGGTGCGTTAGGCCCCTGGTTCTATACGGTCTAAAAAGCGTATGAACCTCTTGTTTGGTCACCAGCTCCCAACGGGTTGCGATACCCGATACCATGCTGTCTTGTAGGTTAGATCCTGGAGCAAAGGCTCGGCGCAGGGCCTCCTAAGACAATCCCCTACTTTGGCCTGGGTAACCGGGTAGTATCACGCCCACTAAAGAATCATCGATGCACTACACTACTGCTTTCTCTCTTGCTATATCTACTTGCTTTACTGCCTCTGCTGCTCAGCATCCACCCACAAATCGTCCTACGTCCCGTTCCTCAACTGCACCTCGGTCAGCGTCAACAACAGCTCACTGGTCGCATCTGCCAGGGTTCTGAGCCAAACGTTTGGTGTTCGTTGCCCGTGGGTCACAACATCCTTACACTCAACGGAAGCCCAAGCTTCCCTTCGTCCTGGTTTTCCATTCGGTTTTGCATCGTTCAATGTGCGCACTCTGATGCAGATCGGACGACAAACATGCCTGGTCCGCACCCTTGAGACACTCTCGGTGGACATCTGTTGCCTTTCCGAAACCAGGTTGCAAGGCAAGTACCCTCATCAGAATGACATCGCCGGCAAACCCTGAGGTCGAATACCACTTGCGTCCTTCCGGAGACCCAGAGGCCGCCGCTTCTGGCCAAGCTGGTGTCCAGGTTGCACGGAGTGACTGGGCTGAGGTCGCTTTGTTTGACTGGATTGCAGTCAACAGTTGACTATGTGCGTCGAGATGTTACGCGTGCCTTGTTTGTCATCTCCGCCTACGCTCCAACAGACTGCAGTCCGGATGCAGTCAAGGATTGTTTTTATCAACGACTAAATGAGCTTCTGCGTTCCGCTAAAACATCTGACATTGTCATTCTTGCCGATGTTAACGCACGAGTGAGCCGCCTGCCACTAAGCGAGCACCATCTTTGGGGTAGTTTTGGCCTCGGTAGCAGCCGATCAGCTAATGGAGACAGACTACTGACTCCCGGTTCTAATCAGCGGGGAGTTCGTTCTATTCTGCGTGCTCTGTATAGTCTGACCTCGGGTAGAGTTAGAACTTATGGCAAGATTTCACCTTCCTTTTCTGTCACCTGTGGGGTTCGACAAGGATGTTCTATCTCTCCATTCCTCTTCAACTTTGTCATTGATGACGTCCTCAAAAATGCTCTAGAAGACTTGTTGAATGCTGGCGTGGAGCTCCTCCCAGGTACTCGAATGGTTGACTTGGGTTACGCTGATGATATCCGTCTTGTTGGGTGACGGTCTGCAGGCCGTGCAAATTGCACTTAACGGCCTGGCGATTGAAGCGTCGAAGTATGGCATGCACCTTTCACCATCCAACTGCAAAGCGCTTTTTCAAAATTGACATATGCCCCTACCAGCACTCACCATCGGTGGGAAATGTTAGTGGTACAGAGTTTTGTCTACCTGGGAAGCTGCATAACTGCTGGTGGGGCTGTTATAAACGAGATTTCGATGCGCAATTCAAGAGCTCGTCTCGTCTTCTCCAGGCTGAGGCATTTGTGGCGCCGCCAAGACATCCGTCTCTCCATCCAAGGACGGGTTTATAGTGCCACTGTCCGCACTGTACTGTTGTACGGTTGCGAAACTTGGGCTGCAAGTACCGATGACCAACATCGAATGTCTCTTCGAGAACCGTTGCTTGCGGTCCGTCGTCCGTGTGTGGTGGCTGAATCACATAACTAACGCTGAAGTCTGACAGCGTGTCTTGGGTGGAGACAGCCACTCCTTCGAGGCGCTTGTCTTGCTGCGCCAACTACGATGGCTCGGACACGTACTGCGCATGCCGGTTCAGCGTCTTCCGCGTCGTGCCTTGTTCGCGGTCGCTGGACAGGGTTGGAGGAAGCGGTGTGGTGGAACGCTTACAACTTGGAGAAGCAGGATGAAAAACCTGACAAAACAGCTGGCCACAGTTGGTTTCTCCAGACTCCCTGGATGCTGAGTACCATTGGTTGGAAAGCTTGGAAGTCATGGTTCGAAACCGAGCTCAGGGCAGGCGTATATCTTTGCTTGTTGCGGTGATTCCCCTTCCCTCCCCCGGTAAAAAAGCGCTAAAACTGTGAGTGGAAAAACGTGCAAAAAATGTTTTTTTTCGTCCTTTGCTCTAACCCTGTTTTCCTATTCCGCCATGGTCCCGAGGGCATAATATATATATATATATATATATATATATATATATATATATATATATATATATATATATATATATATAGGGCAATGCGGACCTCAGCGCGCCCCTGGATCTTCAAACTGCAGGTTGCCGTTACAGGATCGAGTCAAAAGTTGTTGCAACCACATGAAACAGCCAATCGGTTCATTCTCCGGGTATCTGCATCAGCTTGATTGATTACACCACCGAAGGAGTCACTGCACCCATCGAAAGGTCTGGCTAAGCCTTCAAGACCTCAGTCGCTTGAGGAGACGGTTGGATCCAAGCTCATCGGTCAAAGGAAGAGTGTGCAACGTTGTAGTGAGACGTGTGTTACCGTTTAGATTAGAGACATCGTGACCGCTTGCTAAAGGCTGGTTGTGCTTGAGGAGTGCCTGGTGGGAACACCGGGTGAGTTGCACGGACGCATGCCAGCAGTACGCTGGCGTAGGGAGATAGAGGATAGCTTCCCATGGATCAGATGCGATTCTAAAAGCAGTGTTGAAGAGGCTTCAGACTCAAAAAGAATTTTGCTGGAACACCATTCATGGACATCGCCGGAGACACGGGATTTTGACCGATCAATAGATAGCAAACAAACCAACAAAGATCATAATGGTGCTAAGCACTCATCTGGAGTGGCAAAAAGATGCGATCAAAGCACATTCTGTCTGTCTAGTTCTCACTGGTTCCTCTTTCTTGAGAAAAACTGAGTAGCAGTGGTGTAAATACTGAAGACAATGGCTTCGGAGAACTACCCAAAATTCATTAAAGAGATCATGATGGAAGTTAACAACCGTCATCCGTGATCCGCTCCCAGTGCTTCATACGGAGCTGGATAGACTTATACTGAAATAAAACCGAAAATTAGCAGCTCAGGTTGTTCTGGTGCCGGTCGAATTGCTCCATGAGCTTGACAATTTCGCTGTCGGCGTTTCATCTCCACTCGTTGTTGTGTAGCGTGTAGTAAGTAGGTTAGCGTAGGGAAGCCTCTCATCCAGGTTGTGTGGCGGTTGCAGGAAGAAGGACTATGCGAAACCTGAGGCATTATGACGGAGGTAAAACGGGATGGAGCTAGTACACTATCCAGTTTGCAGTCGAAACGGAAGTTCTTGACGGTTCAGCTCATTAACAAGGTGAAGCAGGGCTATGGGGATTATGTGGAACAGTATGCCAAGGGGGATTGTAGCAATGAGAATGAAAACAAAAGAAGAACAAAAAGTGGTGGCAAAAGTAAAGCGCACAAAGAATGCAGAAGCACATACCTCTTTCGCGTGCGCGCCAGCAGTCCAGACGACACCATGGACAGCGAAAGTCGTTGGATTCGGACCACTGTTGAAGTCGCCCCAAATAGAAAAATCCATAGGTGACAGGGCGGTCGGGAAGCACAGCACGGTCGAGAAGATAGGGCCGCGTGGATGGCTTGCGAGGCCGAGTAGTTGCTTTAGATTGCGGAGTGTCCGGAGTGTTCGGGACGATCTGACTGAATGGGTCCGGCTTGCAGGGGGATTTAACTGCGGAACGTCGTGGTGTACCATTCTCGCTTGGTGTCGTCGACGTCCTGGTCAAACTGGTGTTCCTAGGAAGCTTGCGCGGAGAGATGTTGTTAGGAGTATGGGGTAGTGCTGAAGAGAAATGGAGTAATAATGAGTAAACCAAGAGTCCACAAAGTTAAACAAGTCAGAAACAAAACAGCGAGGTCGGACAGTATCGTCTGTGGATTGCGGTACAAGGTAGAATGAACCTTCACAAACAGCTTACACGTACCCGCGTACGTCGACAAAACAAGTTGCAGAAAAATCCCCTGAGACATTTCATACTGCTTTGACGAACTGACTGGAAACTTCACAGTTGATTAGCGGGACGGTTTGAAAAACACTAAGCAACTGTGAATGCTGTCGGAATGGTGATGAGACGGAGTGCACACTGAGACCGCGTGTAAATCCCAGGGGAACGGTCGTGGGGGCAGATCTGTGTAGCAGCAGCATGTACGTAGTCGTTAGGGTTGGGTGTCCAGGAAGATGCGCATCAGCCTACTCACTTGCGAGTAGAGTTAGTAGTAGCTCAAGGGGTTGGGTTCGGGAGTAGACTAAACCCGATGTCGGTCAAAGCGTTCCATTTCAGTGAACAGCGCGTGACTAGAATGGGATTTCAGTAGACAGAACCCTTGTGTTGCAATAGGAAGTGTCGGTCACGGATCATTCCAAGATGCATGTGAACGTGAGCCACCCCCCACCACCACCAGCATGTGCACGGGAAAACCGCGGGAGAGACATAATATGATGGACACCCCGGTCCCAATTTCGGCTGGCTGTTTGAAACGCGATCGAAACGAAGGAGCCACCTGTGCAGTAGCACGTGAATGTGATGGGCCTTGGTGAAATCTGCTTTCACAAAATAAGCTACATACGGACCCTAGTTCATAAAATAGAATCAAAATGCAGTACTGCGGAAGTGAAACGAAGAAAATCATATGTTTACGTCCTTCCTACGCAAAGGATATCCACGCAGTTTCATCCGAAGACACAAACTGCAAAGGTTCAAATACCGCATCAGGACCGAGCACAACGAAACGGATCGCTTTGACGTATATCAGGAACGTATCAAGAATGACCACCCGACTCCTCAAGCCGCATCAATTGGTGGTAGCTCATGCACCAACCGCCACTCTGAAGAGAACCCTATCTAAACCGAAAGGTAAAACGAAAACATATGAGCGCAGGAATATCGTTCACAAAAACAGCTACAACATTTCGAGAAACATTATTTGGGCCAAAATTGGAGAATTTATCCACAAATTTACAAGAGTACAAACAAGGCAGCCGAGACCATGACTCATCATCACTGGCCTCGGCGTACGTCGAGGGACACAACTTTGACTGGGACAAAACGGAGGCGTTAGCGCAGGAAGAGACAAGAGGAAGATAATTTCTCGAAACATGGTTTTCTACAGAGAATGCAATAAACCCGCACATTGAACTAGATCCGGTGCACCAACAACTGAGAAAGAAAAGAATCAGGCGGTCCATGAACAACAACATGCGATGGAAAGAGACGGAGACCGAACAACGAAGAAGCGATGGTCACGGAACATGAATCGGAGAGGGCAAGTTCAAACATCACTTGCCCACTGATCAAAGGTCACTCACTAAGATTGCCAAGTAATAAAGCATTGACGAAGTCGGCTAGACTGGTGATGAAACGTCTGCAGCAAAACGGCCCAGCTAGGAGAATATGAACAGCCAAGCAGATATACAGGAAGCTAATTCAAATCGCGTGCATGATCTAAATGTTTGACCAAGGAGGTCGACCACTTGTAAGCTCGAGTGGGTCTTGATGTGAATCAGAAGAAATTGGGCGAGCACTTAGTGGTCAGAATGAAAGAGAAGGTGACAGTGACGATGGAATAGACAAGCGGGAAGGACGCGCCGCGGCCTGACATGAGAGCAGCAGCAATGAGTTGTGCCTCTGATTAAGAAGTGAGAAAACAAACGCCTCTTAAGAGCAATACGAACTAACTAGAGAATTAGGTGTCGATGGGAAGCTACCTAACTGCACAGATGTACGCAGGCAACGTGAGCAGGCCGAATAGAGAACACGCTGGGTTCAGACGGAAGCTTCCAAGCAAACGTAGCCATTTATCACATGGGAAATGAAAAAATGGTATAGTCCTGTGCATAAATTTGTATACTACAGTGTAAAAATGAAGTATGACATTGCGTGTTGTCCCTTCGGTGTCATCAACAATAGCTCGGTTCTGTTGAAGGCAACAGCTGTGGTGTCTTAGAAAGTACTCCGTGGCAAAGAGCAAACGCGTTGTGATCTCAAACGTATAAAGGCCGCTCTTAGCTATCATGGTTACCAGATCCTTCGGTCTCCTCAGTTGAATGTTTCCTGATGAGCTCCGGAGCCAATCAACCTGGTAGGTGCCCGCGAAACCAGTTGCACTGGTAGAAACGATGGAGTGTCGACTTCTCGAATGAGTGTGTAATAGTTCTGATTAGTGGGTGGGACAATACACTCACTTTCTGAGTTTCGTGCATCTGGGGCATAGACGTAGCATGGTTCGCTGCATACATTACCCAGCCTCTGATCTGCAGCCAGGGGACGCCAGCAGATGAGAAGGAAGGAATATTTAAAACACTGATTTCAAAGGGTTATTCAGCCTCTTTTATCAAAAAACGCTGTGGTTCGTGAACGTAGTGAGTCTGGTATCACAGTTCCAAAAAGGGATGTGTTTCTGACGGTTCCGTCAAAGGGTGACATCGCTTTCAAGCTACTGAATAGAAGGCTTTCCGACGCAGTGACAAGAACCTACCTAGCCGAAAATCCACACGTTCTTGCTGAGATCGCACTAGTTATTACTCAGCGCCTTAAAGACAGATTATCGGTCAAGTCAGAATTGTACGTGGTATATCAATTTAATTGCACCTGTGGTACATCGGACATATGGCCAGGCGCCTGTGGTGACGGATAGCTGAGCAATGTCCCGGGAGTAGCAAGAGTTCCATGCTTGAACACCTTGTTCAAAGCGGACACGAGATTCGGACCAAGCATGCGTTCAACGTCTTCCTCATAGTGTAAAAGATATTAAAGGGCTTGGGAGACGCCTCCTTAAGATAGCCGAATCGATAGCGATCAGGTTGACACAACCAGAGCTTTGCAAGCAGAGGATGCTATTGCAACCTCTCCGGTCGCTGTGGCCGTGATGAGCATCGCTCCGTATGGAACATTGATAGTGACCGAGGATGGCTTCGGTTCTCGGTCGACCTAATTTGTTTCGTGAAGAGACCAGCGACCTCTGTCAGTCTTCATCGACAACACAGGCTCTCGCCATCTCAGCCGATCAATTTAACTTCAGTTCGAATAACCTGAGCCAGTTCAGACACTGCACCACTTTAGTTTTCGATTTCATTAGCTTCTGTTTATCCCAGTTATCCTTGCAAACGTATTTGCCTGACGTGAGTTGACGAAAAGTGATCTCTATGCAACCTTACATTCTGATTGTATCAAAGTCAGCATTCACACAGCCTACCGGACTGAGATAAACTCAGTGTTCACAATTTTGTAAGGTTACACTAACTCCTACATCTTCTGTTCCAAGGAGACTAACGAATAAACCAGGTGCTTTACGTTTGAAGGTAGACCCGATCAACCTAAGTTGCCCTGGACGTCCACTTTTATTGTTTGTCCATGCATTTCGTCACACTCATTAGCAACTGCAAATAAACACCAGTTGCCGTTTAGGACGCTGACAACTCGATGCGGAATGAATGTGTTCACCGGACTTCTACTTCTCATTATGCCTTTCAAAAGTATCCACGCTAAGTAGTGATCGAAGGTCAACTGACCTTTATATGGCGGACTACGTGCGTCCGCCGCGAGTGCTCCGTTCACCTGGTCCCGATGCGAGGTGGGCGAATCGCATGCGGTCTTACCGCGCCAAAGGATACGAAATCGCAGTTTTGGCCACCGGGTGTATTCGTCCGAGGTCTCGGACTCTTTGGGCAATCGCATTCGGCGCCATTCCACACGTCCGCAGACCGATCCGGCCTCGGACATGCTGGTTACTTCACCGGCGGAGCTCACGGTGCCGGTAGGACAATCGGAAGAGCTGGTGGCCACACTGTCCGCTGTGCTCCCGGTTTCGCTAGGATGGTGGTGGTGGTGGTTATGCTGATGGTCGTAATAGCCGTTCTCTAACATGCCGTTCTGTTTGCATACGGTCGGGGTCTCCGGTGTTGGTGTGGGCTTGACGGGGAGATGGTTGCCCGCATTGTGATCAACTCCAAGCCGGAGTTCGTACATACCGGGGGTGAGTAGGAACGGACGATGGTCATCCTGCGAGCCTGAATAGGGGGGGGGGCGGTATGGGGAACGAGGGGGATAGAAAAGGGGTTATTGGTTGGGAAAATGGATAAAAATATGGGCGAAGTGACACGGCGAACAGAACGGAGTTATGTGTAAGAGTGAGGATGAACTGGAGACACAAGATATCCAGATGCGCGAATTATCAATCGCGGCACATGCTTGCATGGAGGTAGTAGATCATTGGCTATGATACACAAAACATAGACAATTCCAATTTAGAGATGGACGTACAATCCGACTTGCCCAAAGCGCTTCAATAGGAATGCACGTCAGTATACACGCCAGCTAAAGATGGGAAACACCTCAGCTACTGTGCCGCAATACATAAGTGAAAAAGGAAAATAAATACAAAAGTTGCATGCCAGCTGAGTTACCAGCAACGGATAGGCATCGTTCCGGTAAGCTATCAGCCGGCTACTAGGCAAAAAGAAAAATTATTATGTTTTACGCTAAGAAATGAGATCGTAAGTGGAGGGGGAGGCCAAAAGGGATGGGGAGGAACAAAGAAACTCACAGCACGAACATCACTGAGGTCGGCTCCTTGCCATGTCAGCAAGTGTATCCAGTCAAACGTGTTCACCCTCTTTTGGACCCCCATCAGGGAGCCGTGACGCTCCAACTGAGGCCAGCACAGAAGTGAGGGCCTTCATTCCTCTCGACCAAGTCATCGCTTGGCCACCCTTCCTCTTCTTCCATCTACATCCCCGGTGAGCAAACAACGCACGTCGTGGAAGTCGATAGGCTGGCATGCGCAACACGTGGCTGAGCCACCGGAGCCTGGTGCGTGAAATAACGGTGCTGAGCGGCTCAGTTCCTTTTCCTGGGCCGTAAATATGGCGTCGAACACGCTCGTTACTCACGCGGTGTTCTCACAAGATGTGAGCCAAACTGCGAAGGCACCGATGGTCGAACGTAACTAGCCTCTTCATGTCTGCCGATCTTAGGGGCCAAGTTTCGCAACCGTACAGTAAGGTCGAACGTACCGCTGCATTGTACAATAGGACGGCAATAGCACGGCTCGTGTCTAAACCAGATTAGCGAACACGTTCGGGAGAAACTGCGATAACTAGTGAGATGTAAGCGACCGTAACGTTTGAGATTCCCAATGCACGCGATATTCATTGATCCAGCCAAGGTTCAACTAATCAGCCATGGCAAAAGTCAACGATGGAGGGGGAAGTGATGGGGAGAAAGACAAGCAAGATGAAAACTGATGGAGACTGGATGAAGAAATGTAGTATTCGGCACGATGAGAAAAATGGACCGAGTTTAGGGATATCCTTGGCTTAGTGACCACACAAGTGTCCAGCTAGATGTACACATGTGCAGAGCGCACCAGTGATGAATGTGCATTTGGGGGGGGGAACCCTTCACAACCGAAGGCGAGTTGGACATCAAAAATCAAACGATACATGGCATTGACCAATTTGAATGACCCCGCTGCCGGGGCGCATGAAAACGGGCGAAATTTAACCGGTCAACTGGATCCAACGCCTATCGACTACGTGTACCGAAGGCTAATGACGGTTGCAACCAACTGAATTGATGGCTCGTAATTCCATAGACGGGTGAAATTGTGCATCGACTGTTAGTCTGTCTCTCAATGGCTGTTTCAGTAAGACAAAGACCCCGCTGGTGGTCATTAGCTCATACGAGAGAGCGCATGAACAACGGTCGCCCTCTAACTTGGATTATCGTGCACTGAACAATGCGCAGCGAACCGCAGTCCATCGCCAGAAGGTGCCACAAACTTTTCAACGAGCTAGAGCACAACGAAAATGGGCGATCTTCAGAGTGCATACACACCAAAGTATCATTAAACGGGGCTAGAAATTAAGACCAGTGGATGCACTCGAAAGTAGAGCTTTAAAAGAAAATAGGCGAACAAGCTTATTCCAAGCCCAAATCTGTAGCACGGGGAAGCGCCATCTGAACCTGTTCTCAAACGGTTGGCACAATCTGCAAGAGCAGCCATGAAGAGGATAATGAAAGTATTCATACATTAGCATGTGTCAAGCAATAGTCTAGTAGCAGCCCGATACACCGAAGAACAGAACAGAACACAGCCATGGCTTCGCTCTTGCCCCGCATTTTAAGCCTGTCTATGCGCTTTGGCTTCTGTAGAGCTATTCCGCATGTGACGCTGCTTAGAGTTTGAGGTGTGTGTGAATTGGACAGAAAGGCTAGGTTCTGAATGAGTGACTGTGACTGAGAGTCAAAACCTTCGGGATAAAATATGTTGGTTTTAATATCCAAAGGAACTGAGCACGGATTGCACCAATTTTGAATTTTACCCGATTTTCGATTAAAAGCGTTCCTATTTCATGAGTGTAGCGATCAAACAAGTCAGCGAAAGGGACGTGATTGAAACGACAGGATTCGAATGCAGCAGTTGCGGGCTCGTATACACTGCGTAAGTTGCGGTTCACAAGAGAACATCGGAATGAGTAGGACGGCCGGGACCCCTGGTATCTCAAGCATCTAGTGGTTTTAAGCGGCAAGTGGTCTACAGGGCTGAGCATTCTGCTTAGTAGGATCGCGCTTGGTTCCAACTATCAATCGACTGCTCCTGGAAGACGATCAATCAGGATAATTAGAAAACAAGTTACCGGGTGTCGACCAATAAGTAGGTCAGTATAGATGAAACCTGCCGATAATAAGTAACATTTGAGTGGCAGCGAACTCCCGCAAGCGGGACAAGTTCGGTGGACCTTCTTCTTCGTCTGAGCACGCCTTCAAATAGGTTGAAGTACAATGAACGTGGTGTGCAAAATCTAACGGACGTACCACCACCATCACTGCATGTGAGTAGATATCCAAACGAAATTTCCACTGCGTTTAGCCGAGGTACTACGGAATCGATAAACTAACGCTCTCGAAAACAACGCCAGGCAGGACAATCGGTTTCCGGCCGACGATGCGGCCATCGACTTGTATGGGTGATGAGTGCGGTGCACAGCAGCAAGCACTGGTGAATCACGACGGGATGAATCACTGTGGCGCTTGGCCGACTAGTTTATTATCGCACGTGGCATTCTGGAGCGGAGGTGGCAGCAGGATACAGAACAAGACTAAAAAGTGGAATTGAAACACACGAGGCAGATGGAGTGGCGTTTTGCCAGAATATCGCCTACCATCACAATGTTCAGATGGACACAATCAGATCAGTTTAGTCGATCAATGTTGACCCTGCGTGGAACGAAGAGGAATCGATCAAGAGTCGACACTAGAGCCTGAGAGTGGTGACGTAATCATATGACCGGATGGATAGTGGCCAATACTCATAACCACTTGGTCGACAGGCAGGTCAAAGACCCTAACGAGAAAGGTCATTGTTAAAATTGGTTAAAAGTTACAAGTAAAACACGAGATCAAGGCATTCCGTCGCTTTGAGGTGAAAAGGAAAACTGAACGAGAATCTAATGCGTCTGACCAAAGTTCAGGGAATCCCGAACCAGACAGACAATAACACGTGTGCTTTCAACAGCTGGAATTTACGAGGAAGCAGGCATTATTACCGACGTGAAATGCTTTCTTGTGACTCGAACGGGGTTGTCAGGGGACACAAAAATACAGTGAGATGGTTAAGTTGACAGTGTCCATTGTGCTGGTTTCCGCGAATGGGATTGGAGAGGCGACGGATGAATGCATGCCTTTAAGTATTAGTTCAAATAGGTTTGTCAATGTTTAGCAGCCAAACAAACTCAATCTACTCGTTCTCTACGTTCGAGACTCAGACAAGAGTGACACCGATTTAGGTGAAAGGAGTCAATCTTGTGGACCGGCGTTCCCTCCAGTGATTCTGAGGTTGCCTGACGGAGGAGCCCAATCACCCTCGCGGCTAGGTTTGTCAATCCTGTCAGTATGCTAAACTTCAGCCTCACGATGGGGTTTCCGCCCAGTGTGCATAGTTGAAATCCACTGAACGTACAGGTTCGTGTGCACAATGTCGCTAACAACCTGCTTTAAACATGTGCACAACGATGAAGTTCGCATCGGTTTCAATGAACCCGGTTTCGAGATGATGACGAAAACAATCTCAAAGGGGCCATCGATTGCGATTGCGAACTTTGGTAGTGCATTGCAATTCATACACACTTCAGGTAGAAAAGACTTATGCCAGTCACCTACAGATCACACATACGCGAAAACGGAGAACTGGTTAATCGCCGGATTTCCACACCTCCGAAAACGACCAGAAGGGATTGCTATGCCCGAATGATGTGGCTAAGCTTATCTAATGCTCTCGTAAGATCTAACATGTAGAAAATCTGTTTTCAGCTTCAACACTTGGTCCGAAGAGATTGCCACTCGCCTCTTCGTCTCAATAATACGACCAATGCTAGAGTATGGCTCTCCCGCGTAGTGTCCTATTACCTGGGGCAAGGTAGAAAAGCTTGAGCGAGTGCAGCATGTAGCCACCAGATTGATTCCCAACTTAAGAGGAGTGCCATACGAAGACCAGTGTAAGAAACTAGGGCTGTACACCCTAGCATATCGTCGATTGAGGGTTGACCTCATCATGACTCACCGGATACTGCATCTGGGTGATTACCCTATGTTAAGACCACTGCATCATCTGCGCAAAACAAGCAGCACACGTGGACACCGGTATAAGATTGCCGTACCAGATTTGAAACGGCTCAATCACCAACTCTGTTTCGAACGCAGAGTGGTGAATGTATGGAACAACCTGCCGCAGCATGTGGTTGAGGTAAAGTCAGTGTCGGAATCTAAGAAGTTCCTTGACAAACACTTTGCTGACGCAAAATATATCGAGCGGAACACAATATAACGGGTATTTGTCCATGAGTAACGACCGATGCAGCTACAAAGAGCAAGCTCTACTCGCTGCTTCTAACCAGTATTCGGTTTGATAATCGCCACCGGTTAATTGCTGATGTGGAAAATGATCTGTGAAATCCCAACTTGTTCCCGAAAGTGAAAACATACACAAACAACAAAGCATCCATCAAGCGGTACGTGAATATGCAGCAACGTCGACCATGGACTCTTCAAAAGGTGTGAAGGGGGAACGAGCAAAGATTGGAGAGCGAATTAGGCCGCTCAGTGAATAAACAGACGGCAATAGAAGTACGTATGAATAATCAAAGGTTTAGGACCTGCAGGAGAAAGTGCAAGACTTCACAAGAGAGAAAACGAACGGGCAGCGAGGTGCGAAGTAGTGTTAGGTGAGGAAATTCACGGAACGACAGTTGTTTCTTCAGCGGTAACAATGCTGACTTCTTCAGCAAGAGTAAATCAGTGTGAAAGTGAGCTGCATCCACAAACAACGACGTCGTGCGTTAAAATGAGTAGCCTTGTGACCTCAGTGTGGCCGGATATTGCCAACCAACCAGCGAAGTCACGTACGTGAGAACGAGAGTGGACCTGACGCGAATGATGAATCTATTCGGCTAGCTAGTTCGTCTCTGTGATTCGGCACATATACTCCAAATGGTAGTCATCATCACGGGGTGAAGATGAAGAGTCCATCGGATCGCAGTAGAGGAAAAACGCCCAGAAACAAAACGCATCTGTGGCGGTTTGCAAAGATGCGTGTAGTTTTGGAGGCCAACCATGCCCTCTGCACATTCGTAAGGTACATATGCCAGTGGGCGATGAGCCGCGCTATATCACAGTTAGAAATCAGTCATGGCGGCCCACCGCCGCTGTAACCCATGGCTCAGCGGCATAAATCGCTAACTGCTCACAGGTTCGAACCCGGTGCGTGTGCGCTACTGACGAGTACTAATAAGACGAAACGGCAGTCTAGTGCTTTCCTGGATGTGTGGTGACAGTCCAACTGAGTCTAAATTGCCGCGAAACTATTCAAAAACGCAATAAATCCCCATAGTACTCACGAAGTAACTGTGATTGATGGCATGTAAATCGAATTGCAGGTCCAAACCCGCAGGCCATCATCGAAAAGGAAACAACAGGATGGATAACCACAACAACTGCACCACCTAGGTAACTAGATGATAAGACAAAAGGTCCAGTATTAGTGGGTGGAGAAGGAATTCGCATGAGCTTGCAACAAAGAGTTGCGCAACTTCTATCTGAGAAGCAGCCTACATGTAAATGCAACACGAAACAAACAGGCTAGTATGAATGGTGCTGTTCCAGCGGCCATAAGTGAGTCTAAATAGTTAAGCTTTCATATGGTGGGTATTCAGCACGCAGACAAACTAGGGGGGGGCAGTCAATTAGTGCATGCACAATGTCAGGTACCGCATCTGATGCCATGTAAAGGTGTTGCGTCAACACCAATCACATATCATCGGATGATGTTTCAATTGTGATGGAAAACGTAAGATGGCGGAAAACTAAGATTACATACCTGAAGCGACGGCAGAATAGAAAAGTGGCAACGGAGCGGTCGTGTAGTGTACAGGATAAGCAGAGGAACCGAGACCGCCCTTTCGATTGCACTGCGGGTTACCGCTGAGTCGGTGATTGGAAACGGTGTTGGTCTGTAGACCGTTGCATCCGTAGCAGCCCGAACCAAGAGAGGCGGTTGAGTTGGTGCGGTTCAGATCCGGCCGCTTGAGCCAACGACGTTCAATGGCATGGATGCGCAATTCCAGCTGGCCCGCACTCAAGCGGCCACCAGAAGTGGCCCATTTGGCTTGCTTGATCACTTCACTTGGTTGAAAGCGACACGAGTCCACAGACGCAGGCAGAGGCAAATGGTTCAACCCAGTTGTGGGATTATGGCACGCAAGTGGAAACGGTTCACCGAACGGACTGACCAAAGTATCAGCGGAGGCTGCCTTGTGGCGCCAGGCCCAAGCGAAGCGGAAAGAAGGGATTAGGGAGGCCTGAAGAAGCAGGGGATAAAAAAGAAGCACTATGTACAAAACTCTCGGAGCCATAGGAGCACGCAGTGGTTCCAAATAGACAAGCCTAGGAGCCGTATCTCAGGACGAGCCTGTGCTACAGCGTCTTTCACCAGTAAAACAATATAGACAGGAATGTCATTTTGAGCCCCGGGAATATATGAACATGAGACATCGATGAAGGAGACTCGAAAAACGAGATGGATGGGATCTGGTAGGGCAGCCGCATAACATGGAGTTGCCCAATGGTGTCAGAGAGATGGAGAAATCACAGCAGGTGTGACGACTCGCAGACATAGTGAGTCTGCGAAAGGGAAGTCCACTTCAGTTAAGCAACTATGACCAGGGTACCGAACCGTGGTGGATCCAGTTGCCATCGCACACGTCAGCAGATGGGGAATACATAACAACTGCAGGAAAATAACGTTAGACGCAAATAGGATACAAAGAAAATGGAATCAAGGAAGAACTGCGTAAATTTCATCGGTATGGAAAATTTACAGCAAGATGCAAAAAAACGTGTCCGATAGTCTCTAATCATTGTTGTGGACCTTCCTGAGGAATCCATCCATGAAGGTGGCCCGTGCCAGCCTGACCAAGTCTCTCAGACAATTTCTTCATGCTCATACGCCACCTTACCGACTTGTCATCTCGCGGTTTCGCCCAAATTTGGTGCGGTCAGGGCGTATAAAGCATGCCGAGGAAGCCCGTCGACGGGTATACGGAGGACATGACCTAGCCAACGTAAGCGGTTAATATTCAACAAACATCAGGAGGTTTCGTGACAAAAACCAATTGGCGGACCTCAGTATTGTTCCCCCAGTGTTCCCGCCAGAGGTGAGAAACACTCCATAAGCACCGGTGGTCAAACACGGCCGCGTTCTTCTTCACCGCGAACTGGCCAGGTTTCTGATCCATACACTAACACCGACCTTCTCGCAGCATTATACACCCTACCTTATAGTGACAAGCCAATGTCTGGCAGTCTTCATAGATAGTTGTGGCTCTGGAAAGTCACACGGACCTTACTGATAGACGAATTAACCTCAGTGACGATGATGTGACCCCTAAAGGTGACACAGCTACCACCAAGGTAAGTGAAGCGATCCACAAGTTCCAGTGGTTGTTCGGTGATAGCTCAAACAGGTGGTGTGCAAACGGTCCTTTGCACTTTGAAGGTGCAAAACACATGCCGAAGCACGTAGCGCTACGCGAAAGGGAAGACGAATGGAGGAACAACTAGGATGTCCAAACAAAGTGTCCTCACCTAGTACACTCGGCCACTGGACGAGTGGTTCAGGCTTCTGGTTTGCAATCCACAATTGGGCTGCTTAAGTCTGCCCAGATGGGGGTGGGGTGAGATCGCAGTACTCCAAACCCGCACGTGACGATGGAGGGCCGGCACGAGATACGGGCGTACTGCGGATGACATAATCCTTGGGTAAAATTACTCGTGTAAGTGCACACTGTGATGCCGTGCAATGCACCCGCCACACGCCACTTCCGTGTTTAGCTCGTATGTTTAACCTTGACATGTATGAGTGGTTCCAGGATTATTCGGCCATCATCACGGTTTCGGTGACTGAGCTATTCAACAGGTAGCTGTCCACCGGTTAATTGCCGAGTGACTAGAAATGCTTAGTGATAAAACCGATTCCGAAAGGCGGCGATCCGAGCAAGGTGGACAACTATCGGCCGATATGCCTGACCTTTGTTTTGGCTAAAATACTTGAGAAGGTCGTGAAGCGTAGTCTTCAGCAGCTTCTCGAGTCGAAAAGCATCTTGACGCCTGCGCAGGATGGTTTCATGAAAGGTCGGTCGTGCATCACAGACCTGTTGCTCTCGAGACATGAATGGTTGTAAGCGCTAAAACAAGGAAAGTCCGTTGAGGTCATGTACATCGATCTCAGTAAAGCGTTGGACAAGATAAACCATGAGATCCTCCTTCGGAAGCTGAAGATATGCGGTGTTGGTGGCTCAGTTCACCAGTGGATCAGTGACTTTCTTATTGGTCGGACGTGGAGCGTGCAGGAGGACAACCAATTGACCGAGTGGTATCCCTCGACCAGTGGCTTCCCGCAGGGTCCAGCTCTTGAGTCAATTTTGTTCCTGATCCACATTAACAATTCGCCTCAGCTTCTCAGTTCACCTTGCGCGTTGTTTGCAGACGATCTTAAGGTATGGAGGGTAAATGAGGCGCCCGATAACTGTGAGCTGCTACGGCGTAAACTGGACCGCATCTCCATGTGGTCACGAAAGGTCAACCTTCCGATCAACACCGTCAAGTCGGTATTCATGAGCCTGGGCAAGGGTGGTAACGGATGAGCCTATACTCTGGACGGCCAACAGTTACACCCGTCCGTGAAAGATCTCGGCGTACTCTTACGCTGCAATTTGAAATCCGTCGAAAACACGAAGAGGCTTTATCAAAACGGCCTTTGTATGCTTTGGGCACCCAGGTGCAGCTTCAGCACTTGGTCCGAAGAGATTGCAACTCCTCTCTTCGTCTCAATAATGCAACCAATGCTACAGTACGGCTCACCCGCCTACTGTCCGCTCACTTGGGGTGAGGTGCAAAGGATTGAGCAGGTACAGTATGTGGCCACAAAGCGCATCCCGGGTTTATGAGGTGTGTCATATGAAGACCAGTGCGAGACTAGGGTTGTACACCCTGTCATATCGTCGAATGCGTGTTGACCTCATCTGGGTGATTACCATATGTTGAGACCACTGCTTCAACTACGAACACCAATTAGTATATGCGGACATCGGTACAAGCTTGTCATACAGGATTTGAAGTGGGTTGCTTACAACACTGTTTCGAGCGCAGGGTGGTGCATATTTGGAACAACCTGCTTGCAGAGAGTCGAAGCAAAGTCGGTGTCGGATTTCAAGAAATTCCTAGATTCGCACTTTGGCGACTTGAGATTTCGAGAATAAGCATCATCCTAATAGGTAGAGTTTGCTTAAAATATATTAGATGTAGCTACACAGAGGCATCGCTACTGGCTGCTTTTTCTCAGTATTAGGTATTCAGTAGTACACCGATACAGCCGAACTGATCTATGCACAAGGGATGATAATGGTTTAAGGTGCACGTTTCGGATTACGCCTAAAGTTTGAGTACAAGTTGGGCACAAGTTTCTCATCGTTGGCGCTGTCACAAGACAATACAGATGCGAAAAATACATGTGTGTGTGACCTTAGGTTGTACATCGAGTTTGCGACCTCCTGTAGGTGCTAACTGATGCACACCCAATCAAGTAGAGTAATCCAAAAAGGATGAAAAGAGCATCGAAGCGTGTTAGAGTAGGTTATCATAGCTCGCGTCACCAATGGCGGGAAAAATGAAACGGAGTGCGAAGTAGAACCCGGAAAAAAACGAATTATGAAGATAGGGTGGATAAAGTGAATCGGATTGAATTATTAAAACAGGTATATGCAAGAGACTGCCTGCAAAAGTGCCGTTGATCAGGTGATTGTGCAATGGACACTCCAAAACAGGCATGACCATTAGAGCGCAGTATGGGGGTTTTCGGAGCTTTTGGAAAGGTTTGTAGAGGCAAGGCTCAGTTAGACAGCCCCCCACACCGCCCGAATGTGTCCGGTTGCGGTACTTTCCCAAAAACTGACGGCTGAAAAATGGTACACGCACCATCAGGATGAAAATGTGCAGCCAATTTATTTCCACCACATCGATAATGACCACTTCACAATTTCACCTAATTCGATTAAAAAACCACAAAAAAGCGCACAACAACACAGACGATTAAGATTTAAAAGACACCCCAATACATCACCACAACGTCTGTTACCAAACATCAAGTAACGGACTTCCACATGGCTCATTCGATGTGCCTAACAAACAAACGGACAAAAATGCGCAAGCAGTGGCGATTGAAGACGATCAGTTATTTATTGCGGTCGTGCCTGACCCACATAGTAACACTGGCCTCATCCCAGTCCTGTACACCCTATTAAGATTGACAGTGATATATAAGTCTCCGGGGAAATTTGAAGCATTGGAAATCAACCCGGACTTTCCTGTTATGTACAGCAACCTCGTCGGTGGTGCAATCACATCGAGTATCTGTTCGGTGATAGCTAGAACCACTGGCGTGTCAGCCCACCGCGGCGACAGCAGCTATAAGATGGAGAGTGCGAATGACATGCGGCGCTCTACGTCAGTCTGTCCGGAATCACTTGGATAGAAGCAAGGAGAACGCAGTCCTACATTGACCGCCGGTCACTCACTTGCCTGTCTGAGTGAGTTGTGTGTTTTTGGAGTGTGTGGATGAGGTCCTACGTACAACTAGCATACCATCATCCACACGGATAACGCGGTACTTGGACACCGAATGTATCGTATTTTGTGTGGAACGAGTTATCTGTTCGCTGGAACGTAGCCATTAGTTTGCCGCGGTGTCTGTGACAAGCACATACAGATTGAACACGTGACTATCACTAAAAGGCATTTATTTTCGAGCAATTACTCGTCCTCAAGTCAGCAGAGGTGGTTGAACTTGGCCAATGTGACACGTGTGAGGTCAAGCGCAGGAATGTATTTAGCACGGTAACGTTACTATGCACACAAAGCACAATATGGAAACGAGCGCAAAGGGGCGTCAATCTAATGCGAGAGAATAGAAATTGCGATATATATGTGCGCAGCAAAGGAATAGCTATTGTATAATGTGTGATCGATCCATCGCAATGAGGCCGGACCTTACCATGGTGCGATGGCTTTTGTGCCTCAGCGATCCATTGAGCTATGCTGGGTGGTGCTTTTTTTGCACCTTCAGAGCCACTCATACCAGATTGGTCAACGGTTAGAGGCCAGACAAACTCAGCCTCCTGATCCTCCAGGTTGGGGGTTGGAATGAGGTGGCTCCTTATTCCTTAAAACCGACTCCTTGTAGCCCAACGCCAAACCCGCTGTCTTGCGGTCAGGTTTTGGAACCAAAGCTTTTGCTTGAGAACCC